GCCCCCGTGGATACCCAAACCCCTTGGATGCTCAAGTCCCATTAAATATAATGGCAGAGCAAAATGGTATCCCTTATATAAAATGGGAAAATCAAGGTTTGCTTTTAGAATATAAATATAAATACATATAAATATAAAATATATAAATTCAAGCCGTGGATGCTTCAGTCCGGGGATAAAGAATCCGGGGATATGGAGGGCTCAATGTATTTTGATGTTAAAAAACCACCACCACCACAACCGTACATCTTAGCATCTTTTGCCTGATGAAGAAGCCAGTGTAGCTTCGAAAGCTTGCATGCTGCTTTTCGGACATTATGGTTGTCCAATAAAGGTATCTCTCTCCTGTGGATTTTTGTTGTACCGCTCTGGTGCCGCAACAAACTACATTTCTCAGAATCCCATAGCCTTGAGCCTATGGCAGTTAAAGCGGTGTCAGACCGGACTATTTCTGCGGTGCGGATGCAGTCAGAGTCAGAGGAGGCCGAGAGAGATTCCTGCCACCGAAAAAGAGGGTTTACAGCCGTTCACTCCTGCCAAAGGCCCAGCTTTGTAGAGACACTGCCTTACCAAAAGCTTCCAAGTTGTTGCTGAAATGGGGAGAGTGGTGGGAATTGTGATTTAATTTTAATTTTTGGGGCGAGAGAGTTCCTTGGGTGGCAACCAAGAAGAGACCGCGCCCAAGTCTACGGAGAAGTAACTCTTAGCATGGTTTTTGTTTTAATCGAAATAATTTCGCTTCCTCTCTTCACCCCAGGGATCTAGCCTGCCAGTGTGCCTTTAAAATGAGGATATTTCCACCCAAATAAAAATTCTGCCCCCCTCTCCAATTTTCTTACAGCCCCCAAATTTCTAGAATGTCAGACAGTGAGAAACCCCCACCCCCCAAAATCGTAAAACTCTTACATTTGCTGTACAGTCGTTGCATTTCCTTGGTAAGGCTGCCTGCCCTCTTTTCTTGGGATTGCACTCTGTTTCTTAAAGGCTCCACTGAAGTTTTAAGTGAATGCAGCTTTTTTTTTGGGGGGGGGGGCTGGGGAAAGGTTTAGAATTCTTATTTGAGGGGGCTCTCATTTTGGCACACACACACACACCCTTTTATCTAAACCCCTGCTCCTTCTCTCCCTCTAAATATCCCCCTTTGGAAAGGAAAGAAAGGAAGCCTGGAGCCCCCATTTGCACACTTCTTTTCTTGCAAGAAAAGGAGATGACTTCCAGAAATAGTGCAAATTGAGTCCACTTTTAGGGTTAGGGTTAGTGCTAGAGAATCATGGGAATTTTTTTTCCCCCTGAGACACTGAGCCTTCTCTGTCAGAGAGCTCTGGTGCCACAATAAAATACACTTCCCATGATTCCCTAGCACTAATCCTAACCCTTAAAGTGGACTCAATTTGCACTATTTCTGGCAGTCTGCAAAGGCCCATGTCAAGGAGCTCTGGAGACGTTAAGAGGTGCGTCTGGGATGGCAAAAGACCGACTTGGGGAGGGAGGGAAAACAGTGGATCGCCTAGAAGAGTCCTTAGTAGATCCCACGATGGGCGGGCGGGATCCCTTTGGGTCGTCCAGTGTTGGATCTTTTCTTAAACCTGGCTTTCCTTTTGGGGTTCCCCTGGCAGAGAGTGTGGCACAGTGTGGTCTGAGTGCTGGACTAGGACTCTGTGAGACCTGGGCTCGAATCCCTGCATGGAACCCCACCGGGGGACCTCGGACAAGTCACACTCTCTCAGCCTCAGAGGAAGGAAATGGCAAACCCCGTTCAGAAGCCATAGTCCTGAGAAAATCAGGAGATTAGGGCCGCTATAAGTCGGAGGGAATTGGAAGGCACATGAACGGCCAGGAGCCCGCCGCAGCTTGGGTGGCCCCTTTCTTTCAGCCAGAGAAGCCCGCTCCTTTCCAGGCCTGGAGCTGCAGGAAAGCATCTGCTGCCCAGAAGATCAAACCTCTGCCTGCCCCCTTTGCCTCCCTTTATAATCCTCGAAGGGGAAGAGGGAGGAGGGGTGGGGGTCTGTAGGAGCGAAGGAGATGGGAAGGAACACACACACAGGCTGCATCCGCACTGCAGAAATAATCCAGTTTGACACCACTTGAATGGCCATGGCTCCATTCATTCATTCATTCATTCATTCATTCCATGCTATGGGATGGGGACTGTAGTTTAGTAAGACATCTAGCCTTCTCTGTCGAGAGAGCTCTGGTGCCTCGACAAACTACGGGTTTGCAGACTGCCAGAAATAGTGCACATTAAATTGAGGCACTGCCCTGACTCAGTGCTAGGGAGTCATGGGAATTGTATTTTTTTCTGAGACATTGAGCCTTCTCTGTCAGAGAGCTCTGGTGCCAAAATAAATTACAGTTTCCATGATTCCCTAGCACTGAGCCAGGGCAGTGCCTCAATTTAATGTGCACTATTTCTGGCAGTCTGCAAAGGCCCTACAATGCCCAGGAGTCCATGGCAGTTCAAGTGGTGTCAAACTGGATTATTTCTGCAGTGCGGATGCAGCCTGTGTGTGTGTGTGCCTTTCCGATTGATGGCGACCCTAAGGCGAACTTCTCCTGGGGCTTTCTTGGCAAGACTTGCTCAGATGAGGTTTTGCCCTTGCCTTCTTTCCCTGAGGCTGAGAGAGCGTGCCTTGCCCAAGGTCACCCAGGGAATTTCAAGACTAGAGGTTTCTCAGCCGTGCCTACAGGGCTGTTTGCCCGCCGCTGGGAAACCTCAGCTCTGGACAACAGACTGCGATTTCTCCTCTGCAGTGCAAACGCTGTAAAAACAGCCGAAGGTATTTTTGGGACAAGATGCATCTACCCTGGGGTTTCGTTGCCAGCGTGATTTAGTTGCTTCAGCATTGGACTACGACCCCCAGGGCTCGGCCATGGAAACCCACTGGATGACCTTGGGTAAGTCACACACTCTCAGCCTCAGACGAAAGCCAAAGCCCATCGGAACAAATCTCGTCAAGAAAACCGTTTAGGGTCATCTGCAGAGGGGCGGGATATAAATAATAATAATAATAATAATAATAATAATAATAATAATAATAATAATAATAAGTCGGAAACGAAGGCACTCAACAACAACAAGAGTGGGGATTTATGTCATACTCTTCCTCTTTAGGAGTACTCCTACTCAACATGTATCTTAAATTCCAGAATGCGAATAGGGGTGAGATCACTTAAAACTGATAGAAACCCACTCTTTCCAGGTTCAGGGGGACTTCTAACCCATTCCCTGATTGTGCCTTGGAAAGAAATCCCCTCCCTGCCTTCTCACCAAGTCCTTTAAAAAGAAGTGGAAACAGGAAAGTGAAGCATTCTCTGGCTTCACTTCAAGGCTCTTGGAGGAGGGGCAAACATGGATTTATTTCTGAGTCGCCCTGCATCCTGAAGAGAAAACTCCCCCAAACACCTCCTTCTTACAGCCCTGGAGCACCAGCTAGCCAAAATTGGACTCCTGTGCGCCCTTCATTGCTCCAGATCTTAGTGGAAGTGCATTCAATTCCCGAAGACCTTTTGCAGGGCAACTCTTGGGAAAGGGAAGGATGGCTCTGCGCGCATCTCCCGAACCACATATGTTTAACTCCTTTTGCATAGAGAGAGATCTTGTAGCACCTTTGAGACTAACTGAAAGAAGGAAGTTGGCAGCAGGAGCTTTCCTAGACTACAGTCTACTTCCTCAGATGCATTTACATCTCCCTACATACTGATTCTACAGACTAACATGGCTATACCTTTGAATTCTCCTTTTGCTCAGACACGTCCATACTTGCCTCAGCAGTGAATATGGGCGATTTCTCACTTCGTTTGCTCCTTTGTTTTAAATTCAATGAGATTGTTTTTGTAGCCCTTCTCCTAAACGAATATAGAGCTATTAACTAGTTATAAAGCTATTAACGAAGACATAAAATAAATTAAATAAAGCAGGCAGTTATAAACGACAGAAGAGCCAAACCAGTAAGAAGGCTGAGGGTTTCAAGAGTATTGAGAAACAGAGAATCTGGGCTCAATTTATTCTCAGGGTATACATACATTCATACACATACACATACATTTGTTCAGAGATTTGTTCAGAGCGGGTTTGCTTTCGCCTTACTCCGAGGCTGAGAAAGTGTGACTTGCCCAAGGTCACGCAGTGGATTTCCATGGCTGAGTGGGGATTCGAACCCAGGTCTCCAGAGCTGTAATCCATTTCAGTTAATTTTGCCATAATAGTCCTAGATTTCTTCCCATGGGTGTTCTGGTTGCACCCAACTCTCAGGCATCTTTTCCTTCACAGACCTAGAGCTAAGGTTGTTGTGTAGAACAGGGGTAGGCAACCTAAGGCTGCCGCCGCCCCCCACCGCTGCTGCCGGCCATGATGATATTGATTATTGTTGTTATTACTTGTTCTTGGGGTCTTCTTGGCAAAATCTCCACAGGGGTTTTGCCATGGCTTTACTGGGGCTGAGAGAGTGTGCATGCATATTTTTTTATTTATATTAAAAATATTTATTTATTTAATTAATTTATTGTGCTCCGGCCCCCCAAAATTGTCTGAGGGACAGCAACCCGGCCCCGGCTCAAAAAAGTTGCCTACCCCTGGGAAGAATACTTTTCAGCAAGTTTTCCTTGTCCTGCAAGGAATCTCTTTCAAGATTCCCTCTTCTACATATCCTTAAGGAGCCCTGTTCCTTATTTCATCTCACAAGCCTCCCTAGAGCGAAATCCAGCACAGATCTCTTTAGGACTGAGTTCAGCTAAGACTGAATTCACCTGGGAAGTACAAAGTCACAATTTTGGGTCGCAATTGGATAGACGCTTGAGAATAAATCTCACTGAACTCACTCACTCACTTCTGAGTTTGTTGCTGTGTGCCTTCAAGTCGTTTCCGACTTCAGGCGACCTTAAGGCGTGGAAAACCCTATCATGAGGTTGTTTTTGGCAAGTTTCCCCAGAGAGGGTTTGCTATTGCCATCCTCTGAGGCTGAGAGTGTGTGACTTGTCCAAGGTCACCCAGGGGATTTTCATGTCCCAGCCGGGATTCGAACCCAAGTCTCCAGAATCATAGCCCAGCCCTCAAATCACTAAGCCAATAGGGTGTCATTGCCATGATTGCATACAAAAGAATCTTGGACTTTATAGTTTGATCATTCACCAGTGGTCTCTGGCTGAGAACAGCACAGAATGGATCTGTGGCAGTTAAAGTGGAATCATAGCACTATAATTGACTAATGTGAAAGAGCCAAGGGATAGGCTTAGCCTGCCAACCCCTCAAAACAAACTGATAAATTCTTTAAGCAATTAAAGGAACATCAGTGTCTTGTTGAAAAAGACAGAGCATGTTTTCAAGCGGTTTTAATAATGAGGAGAGCTGTGCCCCAGATTTGGTACACATATTATTGTTAAGTATTTCTTAAAAGAAAAAGTTCATGTGGATTTGGGGTAGACCTAAATGTGAACAGCATGATTCTAAACATCTCAGAATAACTGGGTGAAGGAATGATCATCACACAGAGCAATCTTGGGGTTTTATTGTAAAAATTCACAGACTGCAACCTTAAACTCCCAGACTTTCCCCCAATGGAGTTGGTGTTGTTAATATCTGGCTAATTAGCAATATATGCATGATACCTGATCAGTCCTATTTACATCACTAACATGTGTAAAGGAGCAACAAGATATGAGATTAAAATCTAAATTCGCAAATGTTTCATATCTTAATCCATTCCTGTAATGTGGATCTATTAATTATTTTTGTCCAAGAACTTAATACATTTGAAGAAGACTGACAAGATTAATCTATTTACTGAGTCCAGAAATCCATTAATACTTGTCACATTATTTAAAAGAATTCCTAGTAGCAAGAAAAATATTTTTGATAAAGAATGTTTAACAAACACATTTGTTTCAAATGTCTTTTGTTCGTTCCAGTGTTACTTCCCTGTAAATGTGCTCAGAACAAGGATGGCTGACTATGGTGGGTTTGGGGCCAATTTTCAGCCCCTGGGGTCTTAGAATAATAGAGTTGGATGGGACCACAGGGGCCATATAGTAAACCCCCTGCCATGCAAAAATATAGAACTAAAGCACTCCTGAAAGATGCCCATCCAACCTCTGCTTAAAAACCCCCAAGAAGGGGAGCTTTCCCCACTCCAAGGCAATCTATTCACCTGTCAAACAGATCTTACAGAAAATAAGTTCTTGTGAATATTTAGATGGAATCTGTTAGATACTGCAGGAATTCTGCAAACTTCCGACAAAGCCAAAGAAGGAAATGAGACCCTTCTGGGTGGTGGGGATGGTGGTGGTTGTTTTTGAAAACAGGGACTTATAAAACATTGATTAGTGGTGGGTAGACATGCTGCACTCTGTTTAAATGGTGAATGGCTGCATCTGGATTCTACCAAGAGTGGCAATTCATCCTTCTGATGGCCAAAAATAGGACAGTCTGGGTAATGTGGAAAGGTTAAGAACAGCAGAAGCAGACTTGATTGTTGCATGGAACTCCAAGACTCTTTTGTCCACTCTGCTTCAAGCACAATCAAGAATACTTTTGGGTCAATGTTTCTTTCTCTGATTCATACAAAAGAACTCTTACAATATTAGGTCCACCATAATGTGTATGTATGAGAGAGAGAATAAAGAATAAAGTCATAAGTGAGACATCACATTATTGCTGTTGTTGTGCGCCTTCCAAGTCATTTCCGACTTATGGCAACCCTAAGGTGATCCTATCGTGGAGTTTTCTTGGCAAGCTTTGTTATGAGGCTGAGAGAGTATGTCTTGCCCAAAGTCACCCAATGGGTTTTCATTGCTGAGTAGGGATGATAACCGTAGTTTCTAGAGCTGTAGTCCAATGCTGAAACCACTCTACTACACTGACATCAACTACTCAAGCTTACTTAAAATGAAATTAAATGAACAGCAGCCCACAAGATGTAGACCTGCAGCTGTGTGACCTGAACAATGTCATTATTGTTTTTTCAGCATGATTTTTTTAGCCATCTTTGTGTCATAAAGGAGCTAGTGAGCTTCAAAAGCTGGGATAATGTCTTTTGTATTTGTAGCTAGCCTAATAAAGATATCACCAATGTGTATTTTGTTTAATCATCAATATTGCTACTCCTTGAGTCAGCAAGGTTTTTCCATTTCTAGTGGTCTGTGAACTGTATCCATAGGGAAAACCTAACAGAAACCACTCATTTGGAACAATTATAATTTGTACAGAAAGTAATCATAAGGTTTTGCTGATATTTGAATGAAATTCCATCTTTTTGACAGGAAGGATCAGGTCCAAATGAGTCAGGGAACATGATCATCGCTGGAAGTGGGAAAGACAAAAATCATTGAAATATTTGGAGAACAGAAGTTTCTCCTTTAAAAATCCACAGCTGGTTCTTTCAAGTCACACATTTTCAGTAAAGAAGGCTAGTCTGATGAAGAGCAGAAATCATATCTGATGAAGACAGAACAAGCTCAAAACATTTCCTAGCCACCTTGAATGCAAGGCTTCCACAGGATGTGAGAGAGTCTCAGAATAGCAGAAGCTGCTCAAGTGCTAATTATGAGAATATATAGGAAATGTAATTTGTTGGCAGAAGTGGAGGTTTAATTTTAATGATGCATAAACAGCCTGGCTGGTTAGGACCAGCAAGATTCATTATACAGTTCTGCTTTGGCAAGGACTTTGAGAGTGGAACACGTGAACTTCTATAGGCAGTAATTGCTGACTTGATTTTTACTAAGGGATTATGCTCCAGTTGGCAGCAGGCATCTAATACTGAACTCCTGTCTCGTTATTTTCAATAAACTGAAATATGAATAACTTTCTGTCCTTAACAGGGAGGTATTTTTTATCAGTAGGAAGTCTGGACCTAGCTGAAAATACACAACCCGCTCCTTATGATGTGCAAATAAAAATATGGTACCAGTATTTTCCTTTATGATGTATACAGCCTTCTACCGCTTCAGAGTCTTCCTTAACCTGATGCCCTTCACATGTGTTAGACCAGTGATTCTCAAATTTTGGACCTCCAGATGTTTTGGACTTCAGCTCCCTAAAGCCTTAGCCACCATGGCCAATGGGTCAGGGATTCTGCAAGCTGAAATCCAAAATATCTGGAAGACAGAAGAATAAAAATAGTGTCAGAGCATAATTCTTATCATATCCTAGACAGCTGGGCTTTCACCATACTGGTTGGGGATGATGGCAGCTGCAAACCTGCACTAGGCACTGGCTTGGGAAAGGTTGAACATTAAGGCTGGAATCATATTGGTGTGTGATAGTAGACTGCACTTTTTCCATGGTCACAGAGTGGTAAGGAAAGTCACATAAAATCTGCCAGTTCCAAGCAGCCAGTTCCTCTAGTGCATTTCTTCATTTCTGGTTTCTGTGCCAGCAGCCTTTCTTCTGCCATCTGTAAGAAAATATCAGTATTTATATTAAGCAGAATGCAGCATGTGCCAGTGCAACATGAGCTTCTGGTATAAAACAGGATAAAAATATGCAGAATAAGGTTAAAAAACAAAACTCGTTGTTGCAAAGAAATCCATAAATGACAATGTTAGTCACAACTCTGCATTTTCTCAAGGTGTTGTTGTGTTGTTCTTTGGAGAGAGATCGATGCAAGCAGGGCCCATTTTCTTCTGGCCATGTGGCACTGGAAACAAAGCATTCCAAAATCCAGGAGATAAAATTTGAATTCCATTAGCAATACAAACATGTACTTCTTCTGAGATCTAAGATGTCTCCATTCTTTGTGAGGTCACAGCTGTCTTTGTTAGGCAGAGAACATTGCAGCTCACACACGAAGCCTCCAAGTTTTTGTATCAGGAAAATTTTAGGTGCTATTTTGGTAAAACATGCCAAATGTAGTCCCTATTTTGAAAAATATTTTTAAAATGTTATACCTTTGTTGGAGGTAGAAACCCTCCAACTTACTAATTGGAATTTCTACCTTCAACAAAGGTAAAACATTTTTTTAAAAAACAAATTGGACTATATTTGGCATATTTTATCAAAATTGGAAAGCACAATTTTAGGGGTATAGAGGGAGCAATATTTGCTGGGGACCATGGAAAATGGGATTTGGTTCTGGTCGAGTTTGAGGACAGTGAGTGGAAGAATCTCTGTGCACAAGGGGTACAACTCTATGTGTAGATAGGGGGCAACTATGTGTGTGGAGGCCACATTTGGGATTTATATTTATATCCTAACCTCAAGAGGTGCTAGGTGCTATCTTACAATGTAACAAAGATCTAATGCATGACAATAATGTGCCCATCTGATTCCTACAAAAAGAGGACATAAACCATTTTAAAAACTATTTTTTCTTGACAGAATGCAAAACTTTAGGAAATAAAAAGAAAAGCCTTTTTAGATATAAAACTTTTTAGGAAAAAAGCTTGAAGAGTCAGATACATAATGCTGGGAGTCAAATCAGGAAGAGTAATTAGCTTTATTTGCTGTTCATGAATTGCTAATCCTTGGTGACATTTGCTACTAATAGCATGAAATTAGTTTGTGTAAACAAAATTCCTTATTCAGTGGTGTGTATTTGTTTTGCTTTACTAAAGACAAGGCAGTACCTGAATATTAAGTTTAACTTTTAATGAACGGATTACAATAAGTAAGCCTGCAAGCCTTTTAAGACTGTTAAATACACAGAATTATTAATTAGCAGCGGAGTATGGTGGTCCTTCTTGGATTCAATGGAGATACAATTTGTTTTATATGCAATTGATTAGGAAATTTATTTCTCTGGGTCTTGTAATTTCAATATTTGTTAATGCATTTTATTGTTTGTCAGACAAACTATAAGAGACTTGACACAGAATCCATAGTGTATTGAGAACTGGCTGAGCAGATAATAAATTTAACTAATATTTGGTTTATGATTTATCCTGACACCTGTTTGCAGCTTATGATGATTTTGGCATTCTTTAGGGGGGTACTTTTGTGTACGTTTAATACACTGCCTGTTCTTAATATTAGGTTTAACATTATGAGTGTCTAATATAGAGCATCACATGGAACTCCTCCTGAATGAGCAAGTACTTTTTAAATGGTGGCATGCACACCTATTACATTACTTGCAAA